GGGGGCTGCCCCATCCCTGGCAGTGTTCAAGGCCAGGTTGGACACAGGGGCTTGGAGCAACCTGCTCTAGTGGAAGGTGACCCTGAACTGGTCCTTTCAACCCAAACCATATGAAATCCAGGTCCCACAGAGACACATGGGGCACGTGCTTCCCCTGTCCCACCACTTCTCTGCCCCACACACTGCGTGACTGCAGGAAACGAGCTGTACAACACTGGCACACTCAGGAAAGCTCACCAGGTATCCCCACGTTGTTTCCTTGTGACCCAAGAGAAAGGAGCCATGGAGGCCAGAGCATCTGCTCAGCCCTGGTTCTGCAGGGGTTTTGTGGCATGGGTGGACATCAGCAGGGGAGGAGAGTGAGAAGAGTATGACAAGTTTGGTTCCTAACTCAGAAGTCTAAGCAGAAGCACAAGCTCTGCAGTCAATGGAGAGAGGCAGGAAACCTCCACAGGCAGCTCAGATGACCTTCATAGGTACCTCATGTTCTGAATCATCTCCAGTGGAGCCTGCATCTAACCCTGGACTGCACAGGGAGTTACTATCTCAGCTCACACCACCCCGGGGAGCAAATGTGCAAAAGCACCCCAAAAATAGCAAATACCCTACTTCACCTCCTTTCTCCAGAGTCAACACTGTGTGTGTGTGTGTGTGCAGGATCTTTCTGAGATGGCCTTTGCCTAGGAAAAGCAGACTTTCAGATGCTCATCTGGCACCAACCCAGTCCAGAAGGAAAAGCTTTTACATTTTGTTCTGTGCAGTACTCAGTCTTCTCCAAGCATTACTCCCAGGATTCAAGCTGGTGCAGCTCCAGGACAGCTTTCTCTAATGCGGGTCGAAATGGACTGGTTTGGTGCCAGATGAACATCTGAAAGCCTTTTTAAACTCCGGTTGAGAAATTTAAGGCCAGAGAGCATTAAATCATGTTGTCCAGCCCTGTGTACTGAACTCAGTGCTCAGTCCATTCACTCCTGGAACTCCCCAGCATTTGTCTCCACTGGAAGATTGAAGAGATGGATGTCTATTGATCTTCTGTCCTGCTGGCTCTAATCATTGAAAATATGTGCTTTATTGGGCATCAGAAATCAGTTTCTCACCTGAGTCTTGTGTGGGACAGAAGGTGTAGTTGGATATAGAATCCCAGAGTGGTTTGTGTTGGAAGGGACCTTAAAGCTCCTCCAGTCCCCACCCCCTTCCACAAGCAGCGACCACCTTACCCTACACCGA